TTGCCGTCTCATCTTCATTACACAACACCGAATAGAACAAATTAATACAAGTTCATACATAAAGTTCATACAACACTTAAATGCAACAAACAAATAACTCTCTAGCTAAAGCATTTAAATGCAACAACAAATGCGATCAAGATCGCAACTAAGGTAACAATTGATCCAACAACATAATGATACCAAGCCTCACTATCGATGGCATATTTTCTAATCTTTCTAATCTTCAAGCACATTTTCTCCATCTTGATCTTGTGATCATCGACGACATCGGCAACATGCAACTCCAATTCCATCTTCTCCCCCTCAATTATTTTCAATTTTTCTTTCAAGTGCTCATTTTCTCTTTCAACTAAATTTAACATCTCGACAATAGGGTCGGTTGGAATTTCCGGTTCACATACCTCCTAGATAAAAATATCGATGTCAACTTGATGGGCATAATTTGTCATAAACACGAAATGCAACAAATAGTTTTAAAAGAGAATATACCACATCCGAATCATAACAAGGACAAGGGCCGACGGGGACGGATATCAAAACCATGGCACTATGTATAACAAATAACGTACGGGTAAGATAATTATTATACGAGTAACTATATATCCAAATCACACAAACATCAATTTTTTATATAAAATTTCATGAACAAGAGGCTCACCACAAGGTGGTGCCGGCGACGGGACGGTGCGGGCGATCGACGGTGGTTACGACGGAGATTTAGAAGGCACTAAGTAAACCACACCTACATATGCAAACTAAGTGTTATTTTAACCTCAAATTGCATATAAATCAAATACTAGCACATATATATATTTCCTCCCAATTTACTAAACTCACAGATTAATAACTATATAAAGCATTGCAAGAGCTAATCTAGCAATGAGAGATGAAAGGACAAAGTTGCTAACCTTTGTGACCATTTGAATGGATGGGGGCCTTCAAATCTTGACAAATTTTGGGCAAAATGTGTGATGAGCTCGAGAGTAAGAGGGAAAAAACAGAGAGGAGAGGGGAAAGGGGAAGAACAGAGCGAGCTCGGATGGACGAAGGGGTTATGTAGGACGACCTTTAGTACCGGTTCGTGCCAAGAACCGGTACTAAAGGTGCTGGAGGGGGCCCAGACTGACAACATCCTGCCACCACTCTCATTAGTACCGGTTCGTGGCACGAACCGGTGCTAAAGGTTAGCCACGAACCGGTACTAATGAGAGCGGCCCGGCTAGCCGTTGGAACCGGCACTAATGTATACATTTGTGCCGGCTCAAATACAAACCGGCACTAATGTGCTTCACGTTTGACCCTTTTTCTACTAGTGCATGTCCATAGTGAATTTCTTCAAGTAAATAAATTTCATAACCAAATTCGAGTTCCAACTCATATAAGAAAGCATATATATATATATATATATGTATATATATATATATATATATATATATATATATATAGATATATATAGATATGTATATATATATATATGTACCTTCAAATGCAAACCGAAGTCTAGGTCGATTGAGACATAATGAAGTCTAGGTCGACTGAGACTTAGCAAAACTGTAGAATGTTAGCATATTTTTTCTAGTCAAAGTAAGTTATTTTGGAGTGAAATTATGCCCCTAGACTAAACAAATATCCAAGAAGGTATGGCTATCGATCTATCTGTTAACCAGTTCGCCATTTGGCTTAATAGCGTCGGTCTTTCACAGTTAATCAGCACAGCTAAACACGAAGGTCGGAACCTAAAGAGCAGAAGTATCCGCCGGTCTAAGGCCTATAACCTCCCTAGTTGCTCATTAGTTTGATCCAAGTGGTTTTAGTCAGCTGTATGTCCTACTCCGATCTACGCATGCACTTTACACTAGTCTAGCTGTATATCCTACTCCGGTATAGACATTTTTTTCAAAAGCTCTCAAAATGAATTTTAATTTTTTTGTGCTGTTTTCATCGTCATGGAGAAGAAAGATTGTGTCATCAGCACATTGCATCATATTGACCCTTTTGTGAAAATTCTCCCAAGCACTCCATTCACAAAGTCATTTTCCTTAGGTTTTTCCATTATAATGGCCAGAGCACCAGCAACTAAATTAATTAACAAAGGGGAGAGCATTCCCTTGTCTTAGCCCTTTGCAAGTTTTGAAATATGGCCCAATTATATCATTAACCTGGACCACCATTTGTCACAAATGAGTTATCCAGAATCAGACCTCTCTTGGGATATCCGGTGGTTAGCTAGTTGTCCCCATGTACGATTAACTAGTAGCTTATCGGGGTGGCTGCAAGCATACTAGTAATAAGTATATTAATTGTATCCATGGAGATATCAACAATGAAGCATCATCAAGTGTTTACGAAACCAGCATGATTAGCTTAGTAGGATTGGCCAGACAGAGCATGCAGCTGGTGCATGACCGACACCCGCACATTTTCTGCAGTTCAATTAGTTAGATGCACGTTCAATTGATGCTAAAATCAGTATGGTCGATCTGGATAGTAGCTGCTACTCGTTTTTCCCTCCTCCTTGGTCACGGTGCACAATCTAAGATGACTTACTCACCTAGATGGAGGGAGTACCAGACGAACAATAGGTATGCTCCTATAGAATTGAGTGGAAGGACGACGACAACCCATTCGTGTACAACATTATGTATTATGATCAGTACTGTTGTAAGACGACGACAACCCATTCGTGCGCATGCACCATTCATTAAGTGTCGAATCAACACAATAATCATGCATGCACTGCTTGGTCCTGTACAACACCATTATTGATGGATCGATAAAGATACACAAGACGTTAGTGTGCAAGTAGTAGTTGGATTCCAAATGAGTGTTTAATTTTGCAGTTAGCTCTAGCTAACGGTTGCCGGTCGCACATGTGTACGTACTGTGTTTTCCGTCGGCATTTGTACACCACGTTAAGAAATTAATAAAGAGAGGACATATTCCTCGACTGCCTAAGAAAAACGTTTCGGGCAGTCGAATTTACGAGCCGTTGGATCTGAAACAAGGGGTGAAATGACTTTCTTCTTTTCACACTTTATTGTACATCTTCTTCCCCCACACGATACGTTTCTACGTGGTGCCAACCAACTACCCCACCCCGCCAATCCCTGCCCAATTCACCCGCGCCTTGCTGCATCGTCTTCCCATGAACTGCCATCCTGGTCATCCCTCTAAAACTACTCAGACTAGCCACAGTGGGAGTAACTTCAATAGTAACATCGAGTCCAACTCAGCAAATTTGCTTATGTGGCAATGAGTTAATGAGGAGAGAGGTAGTTATAGTAACTTAGCTAGTTACTGTAACATCACATGTCCCAATCCAATATGAGTCTATAAGCTAATAAATGAAGCTTTGCATGTTACTACACTTATGTTACTATCCACTATGAAAGCAGTAACACAGTCTAGGGATATGTATATGTTACTAGTGTATGCTACTCACCATTGTGGCTAGTCTCACAGTGGGAGTAACATAGGTGGTAACATCACATATATCTAGATAAAATAGATGATGTGGCAAGCAATTAATGAAGAAAGAGAGACAGGTAGTAACATAGCTAGTTACTAGTACGATGAGTAACATCACACATACCAAGACAAGATGAGTTTATAACCTAATAAATGAAGTGTTGCATGACACCACACATATGTTACTCCTATTGTAAAGGTAGTAACATAGACTAGTCTAAGTTACTATGCATTGTGGCTAGTCTAAGGGGGTGTTTGGTTTAGAAGTCCTAGGACTTTTTCTAGTCCCAGGGACTAATCAAAAAATACTCTCTAGTAGAGTCTTTTTCTAGTCCCTGTAGAAAAAGTCCCTCCCGTTTGGTTCCTAGGGACTTTTTAGGGACTTTTTTTAATATCTGAGACTAAAAAGTCCCTGAACCAAACACCCCCTAAGTCTCCCGTACTCTAGCGTCGACGTCAACCCCGCACCCCAACCCACACCAGCCAACCCTCTTCCTCGCCTCCGCGGCTCCATCAAAGTCGTTGTAGCTCTCTGCCCCTATCACCACCGTCCACTGTCCGGCGAGGTTATGGCTCAGCCTCGCGGGGGTCGACAATCATCGCCCTTTGCTCCCGTTTCCGGCATCGTTAATAATCAAGTGACGGGAGAGAAACTTTCAGCCACCTGGGTTTAGCAAAACATGCCGCTCATGAATTGCATGTGGTGTGCGTGTTTCCTCTCCCTAAACGAAACGACAAATGGAATCTCTCGTGTCTCCCAACTTGCAACGCATAAGACAAAATCACACGCACGCTCGGATCCGATTGTTGCGGAGTGCTCATCCCTCTCGTCGCCACTCGCCATCCGCGTGTCCGGTGGGCGTGCCTATGTACACCGAAATGTCGTGCCCGCATGTGCGTAGATGGGACCGAATATACCTGTTGAGCAACAGCACAATTTGCACGAACCGCACGTTGAGGATGACCTGTACTAATCATCCATCCAACGGTAGATCGTGGATGTCCGTGTTCCGCTGCATTGTCTCGCCCAATGAGTCATCTTCCAATACTCCAATCATATGTCTTGCCGGCTGTCCAATGGCGCCAGCAGCTAGCAGTGCCAGTCTAGCTCGAGTACGAGCCGTTGTGTGCGTCACAGCACAGGTCATGTATACACACATCTTGACCGTGCGTGCGTGCGTGCATGCATGTCCAACGCCTGTGCTAGCTCCTCGACCCCCAACATGACACCTAATCCACACTGCACATGCACGGCATATTGTAGTTCGCTGGCGTTGCTTTGGTACGTTGAGATTTGACTTTGAGCGCATCCCGGCAACCTCCTCTCCTCCACCGGCGGATCATGTCCCCCACGTACTCCGCTGCCCGGCAACCCACACGTGCAACCACCACTTGCATGTCAAGCCACCCTGCAGCTAGCCTCCTCCTTGCATTGCATATATAGCACGTCTACGGTCTCCTCAGTTCTCACATCTCATCTCATCTCAGTTCTCTAGAAGCACCTTCAAGCCAGCCGCCGATCCATCGACATGGCTCCCAACTTCGGCCGCTCCATCTCCTTCCCTCTTACCCCGGCGAGGTCATTCTCAAAGCCGTCCCGCCACGTCCGCTCCGTCAGCCTCCCCGGCACCACCTCCTCCCACCCGCTCCTCGCCAACCTCCACGCCCGCATCGCCGCCCTCCGCGCAGGCACCTCCATACCGGCCGGCCTGGCCAACATCCACGCGCTCCACGCCGCGCTCGCCGACCTACTCCTCCTCCCAGCGTCCGTGGCCGCGCTGCGGCGCCCCACAAGCAACACCGGCGACCGCCTTCTAGACGCCTTCCTCCTCCTCGCCGACGCGCACCAGGGCTTCCAGGAGTGCCTCCTAGAGCTCAGGCAGGCCGCCGCCGAGTCCCGTGCTGCGCTCCGCAGAGGGGACACGGGCAGGCTCGCGTCCGCCTCGAGGTCCCAGCACAGGGCCGAGAAGGACCTTGCCCGCCTCACCGCGTCGGTCTTCGCCATCTCCACCAAGTGCGCGCGGCAGAACCTCGTCGCCGTTAGCGGCGAGGAGGTCGAGATGGCCTATGCTCTTCTGGAGGCGGCCGCTGCCAGCGCTGCGGCCTCCGCGGCCGTGTTCTCGGCCGCTGCGTCCATGTCGTCTGCGGCGTCGTCTTGCAAGAAGATGACCACGTTTATTCCCGCGTTCGCCAGGAAGTCCACCCGCCCGGACACGGCCGAGGCGACCTTGGAGAGGCTGCACGGGCTGGAGCAGTGCTTCGACGAGTGCGACGGCGCGTGCGACATGGTGTTCAGGAGCGTGGTGCAGACCAGAGTTTTACTGCTCAACATCATGACGCCCACCATCTAGTCATCTAGCTAGTCATGTCATGTATACATAGAAGAAAAAGAAGAACTTTATTAGGTACAGTGTACATATATACAGAGAAAGAAGATAGTACAAAGAATAAGATTTTGCTACACTTGTTCAGACTTGTGCTTCTTGACATGAATAGCACTCGCAGCAATATGTCCAAGCTCTTGTGAAGCTCGTTTCATTTCCAGCCAACAATTCAGAGCAATATATCAAAGCATAATCCTCCAGAAATTCAAAAAGAAAGCATAATCGCCTAATTAGCAAGCTTGCTTTCAGATCTATTAAGTCGTTATCGATCCTAATTTATGCACACCAGTGTTGTGGCATAAAATCGAATAGTTAAAATATTCAACTTGGTAACACCCTCAAACTAAACAAACTAAGTAGTCCAAGAAGGGGTAAACCGATAAATGTGATGCGGCGCCTACATGTTTGTGACCGCGCCGCCGAAGTTGTTCATCCGTTTTGCTTAATTATCTACAGCTAATCAAACACTGTCAGATGGGACACTCGGAATCTTAACACCAAAGAGCTCAGTATTCCTAGGTGTCTTGGTTTTGTACAATGCCACCGATATGTACATTTATTGGTAACGTAGTACTGATCATATTGTAACCTGTGCTGAACATTGTGCTGAACGTTGTCCATAACACAGCTGAAATGATGACAAACTTCCAACTTCCAAGGAATGGTTGCCCTAAAAAAATTGAAACGAGGCGTTTGCCCGATTTTAGCAAACTGGAGACCTTAAGGTTTTACATACCCTAGTTCGATGAGAATAAAATATACGGTACTTGAAACAAATCCTCATAAGGACGGGCTCAATGCCAACACACCCGATACAAACCCAAAAGGATCCTTGGCTCAACAGACGACTTGAAACAAATCCTCAGAAGGACGGGCTCAATGCCAACACACCCGATACAAACCCAAAAGGATCCTTGGCTCAACAGACGACTTGAAACAAATCCTCAGAAGGGCGGGCTCAATGCCAACACACCCGATACAAACCCAAAAGGATCCTTGGCTCAACAGCCGAAACACATGCCACACTCAGAAAATGCATGAAGATATGATCATCCGCCAGATCCAGGGCTCTCCTCCCTGGGAGCTGAAGCGTGTCTGCGGACCTTCTGGTAGAGGATATCACTGGTCCATGATTCCTGGGTCTTGCTGAGTTGCTTGAATAGTTGTAAGAGCATAGTCATTTTGTAGCTAGTCCAGCAGTAGAATGCTTAATAAAAATTCCCCAGTTGATGAGTGAAGATTCCCGGTAGCCGCTCCCAGCGCTAAAGGAAAAAGTCTACCCATCACATAATACCTCCATCGAGGGATACAACTTTAGTTGCATCGTCGTCTCTGAATTCAACTAGCGAGGACCAAGTCCGATGGTTTCCACACCAAACAACATACATTTCTCAATTAAAACAAATTCCTCCAAGAGGGGTGAAGAGAAGACTTGCTCAATCAATCTATTGACTGCCCATACGTTGTTTTGCCCTAATATTGTGGGCCTGTCTAGGGTCTTACAGCTAATCAACACTGTCAAGCTCGACAATAGGAATTGATATAAACAGCAAAATAGGTCCTGATCTAGCCTTGCTAGCTAGTTAATTTATACAAGTGGTCAAGTTGGGGCATGTATTTGCCTGGCTCTTCGATCTAGGCTCTCAAGCGTTTTAGTGGCAGTACTTGCTAGCTAATTAAACTAGTTAATGAACTCAAGTTGCGCAGATAATTATTAGCAATTGGATCAAAGTACTATGAATGTAGTAGTACTATCTAAGGTAGGTAAGGCTGGTTGTAATGGGGAGTATCATATACTAGTATCATGCATATGATATTAGTGTATCATACTACATTCGTAATGCATGGTATCATGTGTTGGTAACTACATTTATTGTCATGCATGACACAAAGTAGCACATCATTTAATATGATACGGTATCATGATATGATACTCAAGCCTCTCTTTCTTCATTTAATTCTATGCCACCTCATCAAAATTGCTTAGTTGGCATGCACGATACTATCTATAATACTCCCATTACGACTAACCTTAATCCAAGTAGCTCAGTTAATCAATCGCAACTTGATCAAGCTAAGCATGTACTATGAATGCATCGATGGATGGATTGGGTTGTCACAGCCACGAGATTTGCGCACATTATTGCACGTACCTATGGCTAGCTTGTGTGATGTAGCCATGATCTGATCTAGGCAGACAGGCTGTTCGAGTGTGGATCAGACAAACTAAAAGAAGCGAGTAGGTCAGCTACCTCCATGACCATAGCTTGTAATGTAGTAAGCTTACTCTTCCCTAGGTCAATCGCTAGCCACGCAAACATACCAATCCTTGAGCGATTTGTAATCGGAGAGATTCTCCCGTGCGCACCATTATACAAAGTGTCATCCTCGTCCGGCAGAGCGATCACTGGCTCGGTAGCTGGCATGGTGCCCACCAGCAACACAAGCTTCTCCTACGGCGTCTTCACCTAAGTCTCCCAGATGCCCCGACTTGGATCATGTTCATTTCTGTTCGGGTTTTCTTTCTCAGGTTTTCGTTCTTTATTTTTCTTTTTTAAATTTGTGAAGCTTTTTTCTCTGTTTCTTGAACTTTTATTCAAATTTGTGAATTTTTTTCAAATTCTTTATTTTATTCAAATTTGTGATTTTTTCAAATTATTTATTTTATTCGAATTTATGGACATTTTTTAAAATAATGAACCTTTTTCGAACTTGTGTACTCTTTCTGAAACTTTTGATCATTTTAATTTCATGGTCGTTTTTAAATTCCTGAACTTTTTTCTTATTGATGAACTTTTTCAAAACTCATGAACTTTTTTCAATCTCGTGAACTTTGTTTTTGAATTCATATTTTTTAAAATTCATGAACTTTTTACAAATTCACCAAAAAAAATCCCAAATTTTGTGAAATTTAGAAATCACTTATTTGAAATTAAATAAAACCGTATTTCTTCCCCAAAAGTCAACTAATCAACCGTCAACCAATTAACAATCCTTTGTCGAGCGAAGCGAGGCGTTGGCAGGGAAGAGCAACCGAGTTCTCTATGTTGTGGGCCAGCCCAAAAGTGAGCGATGAGAGCGCTAGCTAATGAAATCGGCGCCTTATGAGCCAAAGGAGGTGCGACCCTATTTATCGCATATGGGCCAAGTAGGCACCGCCGGCCTGCAAGCCCACCGACACAAACACTTTCTTAGCTGTGAGGGTGTCACCACCACGTAGGAACCACCAACCACACCGCTGGTAGAGCCGACGGGCCAGATCTACCTCCTTAGGACGCTGTCACGGAAGCTGCAGCATCTAGCAGCTGATAGCCATGCTAGTCGGCCACCGTGCCAGCCGAAGTCGCCGAAGACGAGTCACCCTCCGCCACGGGCCAACACCGGCAGCCAAGGCTGCCACTATAACCACCCGAATGCCTTGCACGAGAACCACTCACCGAGAACGACGACGGAGGGATGTGCCGCCGCCGCCATCGTGATCCGGGGGCGGCCAGGAGAGGCTGGTGGCGGCCTACCCGTAGATGGGTTTCAGGAGAGGGAGGTTTTTGAGTGCATGCTTTCAAATTTAAACTAAGACCACGGCATTTATTTTGGATCGTAGGGAGTAGTATTGAGTAATCAGAATCCATCCTTGCTAATAAGAGCTCTGGAATCAAATCTCTATGTGTTATTTGGTTGTTGGTTAGCTCTCTCCATGTACGACTAATCGGTAGCAAAATTAAGATGGCTTCTAGCATGCTAATTTTGTATAAATGAATATAAATGGGCATTATGATGAATGATCCAGTGTCTGATTGAATATAAATTTAACATGCAAATATAGTGGCTAACACCCGTGCATTACCTTCAATTCAATCATTCAGCTACACGAGTAACCTCTCCCAACTAGCTTAGCTGTAGCTAAAATCAGTATGATCGAGATAGTTGTTGTAAACTTATTAAAAACTGATGCACGCGTGCACAAACGAACTGATTAAGCTTGGTAGCCGCCACAAGAAGGCCGGTGCGTAGTCAGATAAGAATTGATTAACTGGAGGAGGACGACGACAACCCATTCGTATGCAACATGCATTATGATCAGTATAGTAGTTTCAAACTAATCAATACAATCAATCAATGATCCAACGTGTAATAATGCACTCCAATCTATGGATCGACATATAGATGATGTGCACGTACGTACAGGTTGGATTTCAAATGCGTGTCTAATTTTGCCCGTTGCTCTGGCTTCCATCGGCTTGACCTCACATGCTGAAACCACATGTGGAATCTCTCATGTCTCCGAACTTGCAACGCAAAAGGGACAAGCAGATCGCACGCACGGATCCGGTTGTTGCGGAGGTCTACTCTATTTGAATCATCGAGCTGAGTAGCCACTCACCATCCGAATAAGATATCAATACAATCATACAGCACGATTTGCACGTAGCATGTGCTGTGCTAGTGCGCGCGCGTTGAGGAATGAAGATGGTTGTAGTCCAGCACAACGGCGTGTAGAGTGTCATCTATTTTTGCCCGTCGTGCATGCACGTCTGTCCAACACCTAAGCGCTGCCAACATGACACCTAAGCACTGCCACTGCGTTGCCTGGCGTTGAGATTTGACTTTGAAGGCGCCCCCCGCCCACACGTGCAACCACCACTTGCCAAGCTACCCTGCCTCCTCCTCTTCCTTGCATTGCATATATACCACATTGACCGTCTCCTCCATGGATCACATGTCATCTCATCTCAGCAACAACACACAAAAAGCACAAGAAGCAACTAGCTAGCCGATCCATCGAAATGGCTCCCAACTTCGGCAGTTCCATCTCCTCCCTCTGACCCCGGCGATGTCCTTCTCAAAGTCGTCCCGCCATGTCCGCTCCGTCAGCCTCCCCGGCACCACCTCCTCACACCCGCTCCTCGCCAACCTCCACACCCACATCGCCGCCATCCGCGCCTGGATCAAGGACACCGCAGCAGCAG